GGGCAACAGCAGGGGCTGGGGCAGGGAGCGGGACAGAGCAACAGGCTGCTTGTCCAAGGGATCAGCGTGCCAGCGCTTAAAATTGGCAGTGGGGGCACTTGAACTAAAGCTCATGGAATGAGCTTTAGTTCAAGTACCACCGCCACCATTTTTAAATGCCAGGACACTTTTAACCAGAGTGGAGTCAAGCAGTGTGAGGGTAGAGGTGGGCTGCACACTGTGGGCTCAGTGCTCTCTGCCCTGCTGGCTTTTCCCTGGGAGCTGCATGCTGGCCACAAGCCCCTACCTATCTGGCAGCAGGAGGCACAGCTCATTGCTGCCACTGCCACCAGATGGACAGGGCGCATGGCATAGCTAGTGCGCAGCTCCCAGGGCAAAGGCAGCAGAGAGCCCTGAGCCCACAGTGGGCAGCCTGCCTTTGTCCTCCCCACACTTGGCTCCACTCTGGTTAAAAGCTTCCCGGAGCTTAAAAATGGTGGCAGTGATCAAGCACCCCCACCGCCATTTTTAAGAGCCAAGTTGATCCCACAGACAAGCCACCCATGGCTCCGTCCTGCTTCCCGCCCCAAATCCTGGGTCCCATTCACTGCTCTGCCCCAGCCCCCACCACACTCCCGCACTCACCGTGGGGCATCAAACTGTTCCCATACTCCCCTTCACCTCCACAGACTTACCTGCAGGGCACTGCTCTCCACACTGCCCAGCTGCATTCCTGTATATCAATTATCGGATTGGTATTGGCCAATATGCCTGGTGAATAAATTGGCTATCGGTATCAACCAAGAAAATCTTTACCGATGCACCCCTAATAATATTAGATGCACTATATTAACTGAGAAAAATCAATGTCTTAAATTAAATGAAGCAATAAGGAGGAGGTAAAATGATATTTTAAAACAAAAAATAAGTATCAACAGTGATAAGCAAAAAATTTACCAAACTACCCAAAAACAGAATGTTAATAGTAAATCCTATAATATACCAACCAAGAGAAATACTAATAGACAAAAATCTGCATCTACACCCAATCAAATTTAATTACAGATAAAAAATAAATTTGAATATTCAGGATTTTTTTGGTACAAAGCATAAAGAGGCATCCTAGTTTCCTTTCCCCACTTCCTCTTTTTTCAGTGGATGAAGGAAAGGAGAAATAATTGATTTCACAGTGAATTGATTTAAAACAAAGTCATTTACTAACCATTTTAATTATTTAAAACAGCAAGAAGTGATCCTTGATTTTAATTTGTTATGCTTTTGAGTTTTAGTTATTTTTCAAAAGACAAATTTGCATAGGCTGTCAGTTGATTTACAATTAAATTTATATAGCTCTTGCATGAAGTTGACTTCTTTCTGATGATCATTCATTGAATGTTTATTTGAACAATATAATTATTGCTCTATATTTATTCAGATTCCTAATCTTTTACTCTTTTGATCATGTTGAAAATGATGCATCATATATTTCTTTTTTAGTTGGTGTTTTTTCCACACATTTTGGCCAGGTACAGACATTGCACATAAAGTGGTTTAAGTGATTGCAAATCAATCTAAACCTGTAACTGTAGAGAAGTTCAATGGATACAGACCAGTCTAAAAATGGCAGAACCTAGGCTAAGATAGACCTGGTTCGATGTGCAGTCAAATCTAATCAATTTAGGTTAGACTAGTGAATCAAACTTTTGTATCTGATCCTCTACCACAGGGGTGGGCAAAATTTGGCCTGCCAGGACATTCTATCCGGCCCACGGAGCCCCTAAAAAGTTTAGTAAATTAATATTTATTTGCCCTGGCTCCCTGTCAAAGCTGGCTGGAGCAAGGGGCAGTAGGACCCAGAGGGAGCCCTCAGCAGGCTTGCAGGCTTCAGCAGCCCAGCCCCGCCCACCCCCAG